CAGATGAAGTCCCTGGTGACTGGAAAAAGGGAAACATCACCCCCATCTTTAAGAAAAGGAGAAAAGAGAAAAGAATACCTGGGGAGATATGTGACAGCAGGACTCTCTCCTGTTCCTGGAAAGGCCAAGGAACAGATTCTTCTGTAAGACATGTTAGGGCATGTGAGGGATGAGCAGGTGAACTAAGACAGTCATCATGGCTTCACCAAAGGCAGATCATGCCTGACCAATCTGGTGACGTTCTTTGATGGAGTGACAGCATCAGTAGACAAAGGAAGGGCAACAGATGTCAACTACCTCAAATTCTTCAAGGCCTTTGACATGGTTCTGCACCACATCCTTATCTCTAAATTGGGGAGAATCGGATTTCAAGGTTGATGAATAAAGATGGTTGCATATCTGTAGCCAGAGTTGTTGTCAGTGGAACTATTCCAGATGGAGGCTGGTTAAAAGTGGCATCCTCCAGTGGTCCATCTTGGGACCAGTGCTCTTCAACATCTTCATCAATGATGCATACACTGGGATTGAGCGTATCCTCTGTCAGTTTACTAATGACACCAAGCTGCAGTACTGCAGCTGATACAATAGAAGGGATGCTATCCAGAGAGACCTGAACAGGATTGAGAATTGAGTTGATGTGAATGTAATGAGGTCCAACAAGGCCAAGTGCAAGGCGCTGCAGTTGGGTTGTGGCAGTCCTGGATATGAGAACAGACTGGGAAAAGAACTCCTTGAGAGCAGCCCTGCAGAGAAGGACTTTGAGGTCCTGGTATATGAAAAACTTAACATGAACCGTGTGTGAACCCACAGCAAGGCCAACGGTATCCTGGGCTGTATCAACAGAGGAGTGGTCAGCAGCACAAGTGAGGTGAATGTCCCCTTGAACTCTGCCCTTGTGAGGCCCCCTCTGGATTACTGCATTCAAGTCTGAGGCCTCCAGATGAGGAAAGATGTGGAGTTTTTGGAGTGGGTCCAGAGGAGGGCCATTAAGCTGACCAGAGAGTGGAGCACCCTTCCTACAAGGACAGGGTGAAGCAGGTGGGCTTGTTCAGCCTGGGAAAGAAAAGACTCTGAGGATACCTGAGAGGGTATACATAAAGGCAGCTTATAAGCAGGATGGAATTCAACTTTTTACACAGATAGGTAGTGATAGGACAGGGTAGAATGGTTATAAAGTAAAAGAGAGGAGATTTAGATTAGATGTCGGGGGGAAATTTTCACTGAGATGGTGGTGAAATGTTGGAATAGGCTGTCCAGAGAAGTTGTGGATGGTGGATCTCTGGAGGCAGTCAAGGCCAGGTTGGAGACAGCCCTGGGCAGCATGATCTAGTGGTTGGCCACCCTGCCCATGTCAGGGGAGTTGGAACTGGGTGATCCTTGAGGACTCTTCCAACCCAAGCCATTCTATGATTGTTAGAGTGAAATCAGTATACAGATGGATTTTAACAGGAGACAAACCTGGCATTATTTAGAATGATTGAAAGGGGTTCCAAAAGCAGCTCTGAGGTGAACAAGAAGCCCTTTTGCTACAAGTCTGATCTGGTGGTAGGGGCAGACATGAGGATATACATGAGAAAGAGGATGTTGTAATTCATTTCTGATTTTTGAAAAATATAGTATACAAGACACTATATATTTTGTCACTTATCATCTGGGAACTTTTTTCTTTATCTTCTGCATGGTTCTCAGAATAAAGACCCCTAATTCAACTTGAAGCTTTAGGGCACTGTTGTAATAAAAACTGCAAAAGGAAATAAGATCTATTGAGTCTGAAAGCAGAGAATACAAGTGGATACTCAGATTTATGCTTAGGTCTTGTTTATCCTTCCATAACCTTTTCAGAATCTCTGAAACAACAAAAGATTTGTAATTAATCTATGGGTGCATTTTCTCTCTGTTTCAAGGAGGAGTCAAAGCAGCTGTATTTGTTTATTTGAAATATCAACAGCATGGGATTTGTTAAAATAAACCCATGGAGATCATTCAAATAATTTGTGTCCTTTCCAATTGCTGGTGTGCATTGCTGTTGATATTGCACAAGGAATCATGGAAACATTTTATTGCCTAGTCTCTGGCTTCACAAGACAAAATGCTGCTAGTCCAGCTCAAAAGTTTGTCTACAGTTTTTTCCCTCCAACTACAAAGAAAAGTCTTGTGTAAGATTTAAATGCATTGTAAGGATGAGAAAGTGTATCTTAGAAGCTAACTAGAAATCAAAATGCATTGGATTTTTAATGCACATTGAAGCAACGTTTAACTTCAAGGTTAATATAACTGAAGAGATATCGTGAACAGTTACTATGTGGTTCTCACTGAAGAGTCACTGTAAAAGCTCAGTAAAATAATCAGTATTGTGTTGTTATTTTTCTCCTTTTGTTTATCAACAATCAAAAACGAGTAGCTTAAATGAAGACATGATTATTATTTGTATCAGAAGCCACCAAAGCATATCTTTATTTCCAAAACAATTTGGCTTAAGTAATCTAGGACTTGCTTGGATTTTTTTGCCTCATTTGCTGCCAACTGAATTGGCAAACTTAACACTAGCTGGAAAACATAGCTCTGGCAAAATCCCCAAAACAGCATATATATGATTTTGCTGCTTTATTTGGAAGAGATCTTCCTGGTATTATATTACTTTGTGAAATACAGGTGAAGGTGGTACACGGTTGTGCAGTTGTGCACGACCCACACTTTTGTAAGGATGGACTAAAAAGGACAAACAGAGATTTAGCAGTCTGTAACTCTTTCTGAGCCACAGAGTTGATATTTACCAAACAGAAGACCTTGAAGGTCTGAAAGAAAAGTAACAGCTGGGAGTACAAATGAATTGACAAACACTGAATGCCATGAATATTAAAAACACAGTGTATAGAAATAGAATTTTTTGTTTTGTAGCTATGTAGACAAAACATTAAGTAGTGTTTTGTTTCTATTAGCTATCATGTTTGTGTCTGCTTTGATAGTATAGTAATGTTTTCTATGATTGTTTTTACTTTTTGGTGCTTCTAAACCTATTGATTTTGCTGTGTACCTGAATTGCCTGCAGCCTCATCATCTGCAGTAATCTTTTAAAACAAGGATCTTCACAGAGAAAACAATATCTCTAATTTTGTTTTTTTCCCATAGCAAGAGAACTATTTTGTTATGTTTTACTAATAAGAATTGAAGATATGGAGGCACTGCTATTGGAATTATTAAAACTGATACCTACAGCTGGTTTAGTTCCCTCTTTTTTGTATATATTCTTCTCCCTTGCTCTTACAGTGTAAGAAATTATTTCTTACTTGTTGCCTTCAGCTCTTCCTTTAAAATCAACAGGATTCTTACCTGCACATTGTGTTGCTTTGCTTAGGTCTTTCCAGGTATTTTTTATGCCTCTAGGTGTCTTGGACTGATTTGCAATTTGCTGAAAATTTGAAGGCAGATATTGAGCCGGATCATCAGTGATGAATACAAGTTCCCCAATTAAAACGGAAATGTGAGGCTCTTTGCAGGATGAGGTGAGAAAACACCTAGTATATAAAAATAATGTACATTTGGTTTCACATAACACTATATGAACCTTATTGAAACTCATTACTTTTGTTTTATATTCAATTGATTTTAGTAGTACTCATACAGATTCACATTAGTATAACTGACTTTAACATTTGGCTTCAAGAATGACAGTGTAGAATGAACTGTCTTCAAATGGTATTTCATCTCCCCCTCCTTCTACCCTAGCCCAGACCAGATACACACACAGGATTAGGAGGAAGTGAACATTTAACCTTGAACATTTATCGTAGAAGTAGAAAGGCAGAACAAGTATGAAGGATTATAAAAGGTCCTACGGGGACAAGACATAGATAGGCTCTACACCCATGCAACCAATGCAGAATTGTTTCCCTCCCAGCTCATTTTTATTTAAATCAAGAGTTCACAAGATCTATAAATCATAGGTTCTGGATCCCTGCCAATTTTTTAGTAAATTGTAGTAAAAAAAAGATGCAAAATAGAACTATAGCAAGGATGGCATGGAAAGTGTATTTCAGAATATATTTACATACTACCACAAATACACGGCACTGTGATGTTAAGTGGTTCTGTGCTTATTAGCCAACGAATTACTGCAACTTTTATCTCTTTGAAAAATAATACCTGCCTCAGATGCCTGACTAGAGAAGCACAGATCAACAGCCAGTTTGCTCATGACCTTGCAGGATTTATAAATAGGAGACATCATTTTTAAAATGTAGTCAGGTATGTTATGCACATCTAAACATCATGTGCTAAAGTCTCAATTTTACACTAAAAAATCCTCCACGAAGAGATTTAAGAATTTTCTCTAAAAAACCCAAACCAAAACAAAACACAAAACCACAAGACAGGGTTATATGACAAGCCCGAGGCAAACCACACAACGATGGATGCCACACAACCAAGGTGTCTAACCTAAGGAGCTTTACTACTGCATGAAAACATGGATGCAACAACGCAATTAGCTTGATGAAGAAGCTCAGGCTGTGATATGAGAATATCTTGAATACTCGTGGCAAAATTAATTTGTTTCCCTTCTATTTTTGCAGGACGGCTCCATGCATGATGGCGCACTGCCCTTTGCTTCCCCCAGCAGCCCATTTCAGAGGTGTATAGGAAGGATTACATCCTACAGTAGGTCTGTGAACTCTTCCACGCCGCATTTTTCCATTGGTGACTGATCTTTGTGAAACGCCACACGTTGGCTCGTTATCCGTGAGCCAACAGGCTCTCACTTCCACATGGAAACCTCATCTCACAACAACCAGCTCCGTTTAACGGCAGAGAACAGGAACTCTCAATCCACAACACCAGGCGGCCACACCCGCCTGCCCCGAACTCCAGGTTTCTCACACCGCCCCACCGAAGGCGCCCCGCCTCCTTCTTTAATGACGCCCGCCCCGCCCCGCCGCCCGTTCCTCCTCCCGCCGTCAGCTGGTGTTGGCTGTGACGTCACAGGTGCCGGCCGCACGGTGGGGAGGCGCGGCGCGGCGCCCCCAAGATGGCGGACCAGATCCCTCTGCACCCGGTGCCGCGCAGCGCCCAGCGCAGAGCGGCCTATTACAGCAGCGCCTCTGCGGCGCAGAGGCACAACAGGTACGGGCGAGAGCGCCATGGGAGTATCCCCACCCCGAGGCCTCACGCCTTCTGTCTTTGGGCCGGGCGCCCGGCCCCGCCGTGCAGCCCTTGGCGGCGGGTGGCGACCCCTCGTAGGGCGGTGCGAGAGCCGCGTGCTGTCGGCCGTCCCGCCCGGACCCCGGGCCGGGCGGTGAGAGCGGTTGGCTGTGGGGCCTCCGAGGAGGATGCGCTCTCGGCCGTGTCCCGCGGATGCGGCCTGGGCTGCTGGCAGCTGCTGTTCGTGGCCGGCAGGGTGCCCGCCTTAAAGGGCTGCTATGGGCGTCGTTAGTGAACGTGCTATGAGACAGCCGCCGTATCTTAGAGAGTAAAGCGTGAGCTTCCCGGAGCGTGAAAAATAACCTTAGGCTTCTAAAATTGTGAGAGGACTTAGAAGAAACTCGTTCGAAGCGTTTGCTCCCGAGTGAAGATGGAATGTTTCTTGCCTTCCTGCTTTCCTGAAGAACTCTAAGGAATGTGCCGTCATCGTTCAGGAGGAAACACTTTGCTCTGTAATTTCTGTGCGTCCTCTGGGCAGTGCTCCTGAAGTTGGGAATGGTTGCAGTTGGTTGGTTGAGGCTTTTTTTCTCCTCTTCTTGATTCTCATGGGGTGCAGGACTGGAGGGAGCGGATTTGCTGGTTGTAGCAGATGGGCTTTCTAAGCACAGAATAACTGCTGCTGCTGTTCGAAGTCAAATTAGTGAAATCAGTTCATTAGGAATAATAATAATAATAAAATTGCTAGTATGGAGTGTCTAACAGAAGAAACAGTTTAAAATTATGCAGAGTAAGATAGGTTTAAATAATATGGCCTTGATTTTTTAAACTTAAAAGATAAGCCTGCCAGTGTTCACAGGAAGTCCTCTGATAGGACAGCCTGCTGCAGCTGTGTTCTCCTTTTCACTGATACCCAAATGTCTGACAATCTGTTGTAGGTCTGTTCTTTGCCCTGAGGAAGGGCGGTGTTATCATTATCATCCCTATTTCTCAGAGAATTGAGGCAGGAGGAAGTTCTACACGGGATCTGTAAGCTTTTTAATAGATGTTCCCCTTTGTAAGAAAAAAAGGAAGGGGGAGGATTATTGTTCTGGCAAAACCTTAGTCTAGACCATCATAGGTATTGGATGGTTCTGTTACAGCTTAGGAGCACTGAAAAATACTATAGATGTACGACAAGTTTATACAGCATGTAGGTACATAGGCTTTTCAGAGATGTATTTTAACACAAGAATTACAGTTACTTATGCAAACTGTTAAAACTTGAGCAAATAAGCAGATTCAGTAAGCTGTAAGATTTGGCAAGGAAATATAGATTCATTATGGATATGCTTTGTCCCCTCTGTCTTATTTGATTAGCTTTACCTTCCAAAGATTGTAGATTGAATTCCCTAGTCGTCTTTCAGAGTTTCTCTTTTATAATCTATGTGCTTTTGAAATGTAAGTGCATATTTATTTTAGCAGTCCTCTTCACAAGTGATTATTTATAGTCTTCATTAGTTCCATCAAACCACTTGTACGGTTATAAAGCATTTTGACCATTGTTTATTACTTCTGGTTCTTTATTTTGGTCATGGAGTCATAGCATGGCTTGGCTTGGAAGGGGCATTAGAGATTATCAAGTTCAAACCTCCGTGACATCATCAGGGCGGCCAGCCACCAAATGGGGCTGCTCAGGATCCTGTTCAACTTGGCCTTGAATGCTCCAGGGGTGGGACATCCACACCTTTGAGCAACTGTTCTAGCATCTCTCCAACCTCTGAGTAAAAAATTTCTTCCTAATATCTAATCTCAATCTCTTCTCTTTTACTTTAAAACCCTTCTACTTTGTCCTCTCACTAATAGAGAGTACAGAAAGCTTCCTGCTTGTAAGCTCCCTTCATCTACTGGAAAGCCACAATGACATTTTCCCAGAGCCTTCTCTTTTCCAAGCTAAATAAGCCTGTCTCCATCAACCTTTTATCGTAGAAAAGTTGCTCCAGGCTTTTGATCATTTTTGAGCCGACAGCTTCTTCCTGGACTGGGGACCTTAGGCTTGGATGCAGGACTCCAGATGGGGCCTCACCAGGGTAGAGTGGGGCAATCACCTCCATCTCTCTCCTGGCCACCCCTCTGTTGATGCAGCTTAGGATACTTTTGGCCTCCTGGGCTGCAAAAGTGTGCTGCTGGCTCATGTCTGGCTTTTTATCCATCAAGAACCCAAAGAAACCCAACTCTGCAGGTCTTCTCTTAGTGAGTTTTTTTCTCCCTGTGTGTTCTTACATCTGGGATTACCTTAACTCAAGTGCTACACTTAGCTCTTGATATCATGAAACCTCAGCAGATTCTCTTGTGCCTGCTTCTCAAGCCTGTCCAGGTCCCTCTGGATGGCATCCCTTCCTTCTGCTGTATCAGCTGCACTATTCAGCTTGTTGTCATCAGTAAACTTTCTGAGAGCACTCTTGGTCCCATAGTATATGTTGTTGATAAAGATGTTAAGGAGCACCAGTCCCCTGACAGGCACCACTCATGACCAGCCTGCACCTAAACATCAAGCCATTGATGGCCATCCTCTGGCGACATTCATTCTAACAGTTCTTTAATCTACCAAATAGTTCAGCCTTCAAATTCACATCTCTCCAAGTTAGGGAGAAGAATGTGGTTTGGGACTGTGTCAGAGGCCTTGTATGAGTGCAGGTAGATGACATCAATTGCCCTTGGCCACTGATGCTGTCACTCCATCTTAGAAGGCCACCAGATTGGTCAGATATGATCTGCCCTTGTTGAAGCTGTGCTGGCTGTCTCTCCAAATCACGTCCTCATCTCAGGTATGCCTTGATACTTTTTCAGGAGTATCTGCTTCTTGATCTTTCCAAGCACAGTAACAGGCTCACTGGCCTGTAGTTCCCTAAGTCTTCCTTTCTCCTTTTTCTTTAATGTGGGAATCACTGGGGCCTTTGCTTGGCAGCCACGATTCTTTGAATATGAGGGAGAACTGCTTTGCAACCACATCAGTCAGTTCCTGGAATGGATATGTTTCTGGCCACATAGACTTGTATGCATCCAGCCTCACAAAGTAGTTTTGGACTGGCTCCACTTTTACACTGGGAGGGATTTTGCTCACCAAACCCTGCTCAGATGTACAGGGGCACACAAGGCGTGGGAAGCCTGACTGACAGTGAAGTCTGAAGCAAAGAACTCGTTAAGTACTTCAGCCTTCTCCATGTCTGAAGTGTCCAGTTCTCTCCTCTTATTTAGTGCTGCTACAACTTGTAATTCTTGTGACTTGAAGTTACGATTGATCTATGACTCCTAAGCTTTTAGGAATGCTTCGTCCTGCTTTTCTAACCTTTCTCTGCAGCACAGACTTCTAAGGGGACTTGCATTCCTGTATAAGCTGCAGGAAAGCTCCTGGTTTCACAAATGCATGTATGAGTATTGAAGTGTGTATACATGCAGTTTTAGTTTGAAGGAGCATAATTCATACTTCAGAAGATATCTAGAGGTGGGCGCTAATTAAAATGTATTTTTTAAATCTCAAACCAGGTTTCTGTGCTCTCAAGAGACTTGTCATATTTTTTTTCAGTGAAGAACTTACAGTTCTTACATTGCGTCTTTTGCAAGTCTTATGCACAGGTCCTTACCTTTAGCACAGTAATGCTATTTAACTCAAGCTGATTTCCCTGCGACTGGCAACTTCAGTTAATGCAACTCAGCAGTTGCTTACCTGTAGTGGCCTCAAAGCTAATTTGTGGAGTGACTTATTTTGCTTAAGCTGAGCAGTGTGTAGGAGTCTGCTATCGTTACTGCTGTTAGTTCTGCAGGAAGGGAGAAATTCTTTCTCATCCAGTGTGTCTCTACAGTGTTTGTGTACTTGAGAGTACTTTTGCTGACCATTAGCCTGTATTTTAAAGCTGGAATGTGTTCTTCCCCACACACCCAAGGAGCTGCGGTGCTATGCACCTGAGATCGCATGCTTTTATATAGAATTGAACAGAAAACTGGCTGTGTGCTACTGTTGGAAACTAGGAAAATCTATTTTGAGGTAAGCACTTGTCTATATTCTAATAATTAACAATCTTGTTATATATACTGTAATAGTTGTAGAATGCATGGAGGAAAAAAAGCTACTGTTTTCTGACTGTTTTGACACTTTGTCTTTCAGCACAAAGGATCTGAGACAGTTGCTGTGGGTTCTTTGTTTGTCTTTGGTTTGCTTTTGTTTTGTTTTACACCATATGGGAAAAAGAGGACTGGAATGCTCCTGGGATCACTTTGAATATGCAGTGAGACTAACACTCTTTTCTTATAGTCAGAAGCCCAAGAGTAAGCAACTGCTGAGCACAGAAAGTTGACTGTGCTCTGTGTTGTCCATCTACCTTATATGTGGATGTAAAACAAGAAGCTGGGTAGAATTTTGAAGCTGATAAGGGACTGAGTTAAACAGGGCTCAACCCTCATTTATCTGTAAGCAAATTATCTAGTTCATTAAGGTGTCCTGTGCTTGTTGCTGTCAGAGTATGTTGTGTTTGGCCTAGTGGTGCTACAGTGCGAAGTGTTGAGACAGCTGAGCTGCTGCCAGAGTATCAGGTCTTACCAGCTGTGTCCAGTAGTATGCAAATACAGTTATGCTGCAAGCATTCAGAGGTATGCCTACATTGTCACAAAAAACCCTTCATTCTGAGGAAGAAATCTTCCATCGTGATTATGTGTAATATGGATCATGACAGTGTACTTATGAATGGCCACGTATCAAGAGGCTGCAGTAAAGCAAGTAGTGGAAAAATCAACTGCTGTTGCATCTCAGTAGTTTGCCTTCTGATAGAGGACTCAGGTTTTAGGAAATTGTTGCTTTTTGATGACCATTTTTGTTTGTGTGACAGATCTGGTAACTACATGAATTTCAGATTAGTGTAACCTGAGGTTCATCTGTATGTCCCAGAAATATTGTAAACTGTTAACGACCAAAAGTATTTGCATTGCTGGGTTGAATGATGCTCTGTTTT